CACACTGAGCATGGAGCCTACTTAAAGAAACAAACATAACTCCCTGTAGTTGACACATTAAAATAAAGAGAAAGGAATGCAAGCAAAACACTAACATAAGCCATCAAACTACAGGGGAAGAGAGCAAAGATAAAGAAAGGAATAGAGAAGAGCTACAAAAACAACTTGAAGACAATGAACAAAATAGCAATAAATATACACCTATCAATAATTACTTTAAATGTAAAGGGAGGGATCCCTGGGTGGCGCAGCGGTTTGGCGCCTGCCTTTGGCCCGGGGCGCGATCCTGGAGACCCGGGATCGAATCCCATGTCGGGCTCCCGGTGTATGGAGCCTGCTTCTCCCTCTGCCTGTGTCTCTGCCTCTCTCTCTCTCTGTGTGTGACTATCATAAATAAATAAAAAAAATTAAAAAAAAAAACTTTAAAAAAAAAATGTAAAGGGACCAAATGCTCCAATCAAAAGACAAAGGATGACTGAATGGATAAAAAAATAATATGGTATATCTGTATGCTGCCTATAAGAGACTTACTTCAGATCTAAAGACACGTACAGACTGTAAGTGAAGGGGTGAAAATACACATGCAAATGGAAGGTGGGAGGTGAGGGCACAGGGAGTCAGGGTAGTAATACCTGTGTCAGACAAAATAAACTTTAAAACAGATTGTAACAATAGACAAGGGCACTACATAATGATAAAAGGATCAATCCAACAAGAGGACATAACAATTGTGAATATCTTTGCATCCAACCTAGGAGCACCTAAATACATGAAGTAAACATTAATGAACATAAAGGGAGAAATTGACAAAAGTATGATAATAGTAGGGGACTTTAACACCCCGCTTATATCAATGGATACATCATCCGGATAGAAAATTAATAAGGCAAGAATATCCTTGAATAACACATCAGACTAGATGGACCTAACCTACATAGGACATTCCATCCAAAAACATCAGAATACACATTCTTTTCAAGTGCACATGGAACATTATCCAGAATAGATCAGGTTATGCCACAAAACAAGTGTCAATAAATTTAAGTTTTAGGTCATGTCAAGCATCTTCTCCAGCCACAATGACTATGAAACTAGAGATCAATTGCAAGAAAAATCTGGGAAAAACACATATGGAGGGTAAACAACATGCTAATAAACAATGATTGTGTCAAGGAAGAAATCAAAAAGAATGTAAAAAAAAGTCATATAGACAAAACATGGTAGTCCAAAATCTTTGGGACATAGCAAAAGTAGTTCTTTTTTTTTAAGATTTTATTTATTTATTCATAGAGACACCCGGGGGGGGGGGGCAGAGACACAGGCAGAGGGAGAGCCCAACGTGGGACTCAATCCCGGGCCTCCAGGATCACACCAGGCTGCAGGTGGTGCTAAACCACTGTGCTACAGGGGCTGCCTAGCAAAAGAAGTTCTAAGAGGGAAGTTTATAGTGATATAGGCCTACCTCAAGAAACAATTTCAAACGACCTAACCTTATACCTAAAAGAACTAGAAAAATAAGAACAAAGCCCGAGGCTAATAGAAGTAAAAAAATAATAAATATTAGAACATAAATACATAAAATAGAGACCAAAAAAAACAATGAAACGAAGAGCTGGTTATTTGAAAAGATAAACAAAACTCAGTAAACTTTTATTTAGACTCATCACAAAAGAAAAAAAGAGGGTTCAAAATCAGAAATGGAGAAGAAATAATAAATGTGACACCACAGAAATACACAAGATTATAAGAGACTGCTACAAAAAAATAGTATGCCATAAATTGGACCCCCTAAAGAAATGGATGAAATTCCTAGAAACATACCATCTTCCAAAATTGAATCAGGAAGAAATAAAAAAAAAATATATATATAATATATATATATATTACATATATATAATATGTATATAAGTATAAAAATAAAAATTAAAAATATATATATATATTAAAGAAATTGCATTTATTTGCTTGAGAGAGAGAGAGGGAGGGAGCACAAGCAGAGGGAGCAGGAGGAAAAACAGACTCCCCACGAAGAAGGTAGCCCGACTCAGGGCTCAATCCCAGAACCTTGAGATCATGACCTGAGCTGAAGGCAGATGCTTAACTGACTAAGCCACCCAGATGCCCCTAAAGAATTTAAATAAACTTATTACTAATAATGAAATTGAATCCATAATCATAAAAGTTCCAACAAACAAAAGCCCAGGACCAAATGGCTTCACAGGTAAATTCTACCAAACATTTATTTTTTTTTTAAATTTTATTCATTCATTCATTCATTCATAAGAGACACACAGAGACAGAGGCAGAGGGAGAAGCAGGCTTCATGCAGGGAACACGATGTGGGACTCGATCCTGGGACTCCAGGATTACGCCCTGGGCCCAAGGCAGGCGCTAAACTGCTGAGCCACCCAGGGATCCCTCTACCAAACATTTAAAGAAGAGTTAATACCTATTCTTCTCAAAGTATTTCAAAAAACAGAAGAAGGAAAAATTCATTCTGTGAGGTCAGCATTACCCAGACACCAAAGTCAAAGACACTACCAAAAATAACAAAAACAACCCCAAACCAAAAACCAATGAAAATAGATGCAAAATTCTCAACAAAATATCAGCAAAATGAATTCAACACTATTTTAAAAATATCATTCACCATGATCAAGTGCGATTTATTCCAATGCAAGAGTGGTTCAGTATGCATAAATCCATCAACATGAGATATCACATTAACAAGAGGAAGGATAAAAAAAAGTGATCATCTCAGTAGATGCAGAAGAGCACTCGACAAAATACATCCATTCATGATAAAATTCTCAAGAAAATGGGTTTAGTGGGGACATACTTCAACATAACAAAGGCTATATATGAAAAACATATAGCTAACATCATACTCAATGTTGATAAATGGAAAGCTTTTCCTCTAAGACCAGGAACAAGACAAGGATGTCCACCCTCCCCACTCTTACTCAACACTAGTACTGGAAGTCCTAGCTGCAGTGATCAGACAAGAAATAAAAGTCATCCAAAATGGCAAGGAAGAAATAAAACTGTAACTCTCTGCAGATGATGATACTGTATGTAGAAAACCTAAAAACTCCACCAGAAAAAAACTATTAGAATAAAGGAATTCGGTAAGGCTGAAGGATACAAAATTAATATACAGAAAGCTGTTGCATTTCTATACACTAATAATGAAGTAGCGGAAGGAGAAACTAAGAAAACAATCCTATTTACAATTGCACTCCCCAAAATTAAACACCTAGGAATAAATTTAACCAAGGAAGTGAAAGTCCTGTACTTTGAAAGACACTGATGAAAGAAGCTAAAGATGACACAAATAAATGAAAAGATATTACATGTTCATGGTTTGGAAGAATCATTATAATTTTCCTACTACCCAAAGCAACCTACAAATTAATGCAATCCCTGTCAAAATACCAAAGTTTTATCAAAATGCTAAAATTTATGTGAAACCACAAAGGACCCCAAATACCCAAAGCAATCCTGAGAAAGAACAAAGCTAGAGGCATCACATGTTCTACCGTATACAAAAATAAACTCAAAATGGATTAAAAACCTAAATGTGAGGCCAGAAACCATAAAACTGCTAGAAAAAAAACCATAGGTAGTAATCTCTTGGACACTGTCCTTAGCAACCTATTTATGGATGTTTCCTTGGGCAAAGGAAAAAAAACAAAAGCAAATGTGAACTATTGAGCCTACACCAAAATAAAAAGCTTTTGCACCGTAAGGGAAACCATCACAAAATGAAAAGGCAAAAAAAAAAAAAAAAAAAAGAAAAAGAAAAAAAAAAAGGCAACCTACAGAATGTGAGAAGACATCTGCAAATGATACATCTCATAAGGGGTTAATATCCAAAATATATAAAGACCTCAAACAGCTCAAAACCAAGAAAAACAACCAACTGATTAAAAAGTGAGCAGAAGCCTGAAATAAACATTTCTCCAAAGAAGACCTACAGGCGGCCCACAGACACACGAGAAGGTGCTCAACATCACTCATCATCGGGGAAATGCGAGTCAAAAATACAACGAAAAAAAAAACTACAACGAGATGTCACCTCGTTCCTGTCATACTGGGTAGAATCAGAAAAACAAGAAATAACAAGTGTGCTGAGAATGTGGAGAAAAGTGACCCCTACCTACAGTGGTAGGAATATAAACCGGTGTGGCCACTGTGCAAAACAGGGTAGAGTTTCCTCCATGAAAAAAATGCCTTGGGTGGGTGTCTATCTAAGGAAACGTCCTGCATTGTTTACAATAGCCAAGTTACAGACGCCAATCCAGGTACCCACGGACAGATGAATGGATAAAGGCGACGGGATGTGCGCGCACATGTGCACACATGCCCATAGGTATATACAATAGAATATTGCTCGGCCATAAAAAAGAATGGGACGTTGCCGCTAAAACCACACGGAGGGACCTAGAGAGTTTTGTGCTAGGAGAAGTCCGACAAAGACAGGCAAGCACCATGTGACTACCCCTACACGTGAGCTCTGGGATAAGAAGCCAACAGTCACGTCTCCGGGAGGAGGTGCGGTGTGGAGGAAAGAGCATCAAACCAGAGCAGGGGGCCCTGAGCTGGGGTCTCCCTTGTCAGCCCTCACACCCCTCAGGGTGGCTGACCTCAAGGTCATCCTTTGTAAAAACACGGAAATGCCTTCCTTGAGCATCAGGTGGGCCTATTGTGAGGTCCAATGCGGGCGGTGGGGGGGGGGGGGGCTGCTTTTCAATTCAGGGGTTTGCTATTCTAAGCCGACCCACAAAGCTTTAACTGACAGGCCTTCTAGGGTGTTCCTGGAGTCAAACTAAGATGGCGAATCTTAGGTTCAGACTTTTTGGTTATGTTTACATTTACACACTTACATGCATTATTCTGACAAGGGGTCGGTAGCATTTACCAGAATGCTGGAAGGGCCCACAACACAGAGAGGTTAAGTAGCCCCCTATCCTCGAAGGTTGGGGTTTAGGGTTACTTACAGTTTGGATGTGACCTTCTGCAACAAAACTGGAGGCCCTTACAGTGAAGAAGTGACAGAGCAGGACAGGGTCAGAGGGATCCCAAAATCCTGTGTGGAGGGAAAGGGTGAGGGCTTGTTGCATTTAGGTCCCAGCGTCCTGACCATTGAGATACCCAGACAGACCCCATCCTACAGGCCCCATCACATGACAAAAGGAGCAGAACTTGCCAGCACTGAGCTCTTTAGAGAAAGGAACTGGATCTGAAGACCTTCTCACCCAGGGCCCCAGAGCAGCGAGCTCAGCAGGGGGGACCGTGGGAGCCCAGGAGGGTGCCGCAGACAGGGCTCTCCCCGCCTCACTCCGGGCCCTTCCCACCCTCCCCCAAGTGTCTGGGGCCTGATGCTGGGGGCCCTGAGCTGCGGGGGACTGAAGCCGGGGGTGGGGGGGGCAGAAGGAGGCCTCCCCAGCCCCCGGCCACACGGAGGGCCCAGAAGGCCTCACTGCCCCACGCGCCCTGCCCGTGGCGTTTCCAGCACAGCTCAGCACCCACGTCCCGGGCCCCTCGGCGCCTCAGACACGTGGGTCCACCCCTCACCTCCTCCGGGGTTGTAGCTGAGCTCTGTCAGCCTCCTCCCGCCCTCCACTGCCCCTTGCAGCGTCACCAAGCCTGCTGGTGGCTGGAGGCCCAGGCGCCTTTCCAGAAGCTGGCGGGGAGCCTGCACCTGGCAGCCCTCGCAGAGAGGGAGGAGCTACCCAGTTACCAGGTGATCCTCCATGGAGAGAAAGGTCCTTCCCCGCCTCCCTCCTCCCCATCTGTTTGCTGTTACCTGAAATCTATCCCAAGAGTTTCTTGACAATCGACCTCAAGCTTGGATCCTAATTCAACAGATTTTAAAAGCCCATCTCTTCCCCCCAAAGGAGTAGCTTTTCCTTTAGTTTGACAAAGAACTAGTCAAATAAGGTCTTGGTCCTTTTAAGGAGAGCGACAGTCCGACAAATCCTAATTTGGTCAAAATTACATATATATTCATAGAAAAAAAAAAAACGAGACTGAAGCCATACACAAAAAGCTAGAGTGGTTACCCTGCTTGGTATGATGAGAAAGATTCTGTCTTTAGGATACCTCTGTTTCCCATCTTGTCCATGTCTTCCTTTTGCAATTAGAAAAAGTCGTTTAAAATCAATTAAAGTAAGTACCATTTGGAGACCCGTATATTAAGTCGCTATAGATGAATTACAAAGGCAAACAGCCCCCAGCTGTCCTTTCTTTTTTTATTTTTAAGATTTTATTTATTTATTCATGAGAGAGAGAGAGAGAGAGAGAGGCAGAGACACAGGCAGAGGGAGAAGCAGGCTCCACGCAGGGAGCCCGACGTGGGACTCGATCCAGGGTCTCCAGGATCACACCCTGGGCTGAAGGCAGATGCTAAACTGCTGAGCCACCCAGGGATCCCCGAATAAAAGACTTTCAACAAGTAAATGATTTGTCTCCAGGAAACCCACAATTAAACAGAAGAGAAAACCAGTTTCTTCCAAAACCGTATTTTTCTCAATTTAGCCTCAAAGCCACGAGTTGATCCATTTTATATATTTATTTACATTTCGCTTTATTACAGTCAAGGTCAGGGTTTGTTTAAGGTTTTATTTATTTGAGGGAGAGAGAGAGAGGCAGCCTCCCCGCTGAGCAGGGAGCCCGATGCAGCCTGACCACAGGGCCTGGGGATCCCCGGGCCCCGGGGTCATGACCCGAGCCGTCTGAGCCACCCAGGTGCCTCCACTACAATAAAGGCTTTGAGGCATGAATCTGTCGTATTGGTCGCAGGTGAGAGGCCTTATTTACAGGCAGGCCCTTGTCTCGGTGTTCGCCAAAGTGAAGTAAGGGACATCGGTCCAAGGCTGAGGACAGATAAATTTGAAATGAAAAAAAACTTAAAAAAAAAAAAAGAAAAAAAAAACTTTTTTTGGAATGAAAGCCAAATGCCTTGACGTGATGCCAAGAGCAGAAAAACTGATCAGGGAAAGAGATGCTGCAGGAGTGCACAGGCGCCAGGAGGCCGGCGTGGCGGCTGGCGGAGACCCGGCCTAGCCCGTTTGTCATCAGCTCACACCCTGGTCCCTGGGCGAGTGACTGCCCCTCCCTCACACTTGCCTCTCATGAGGTTGGGGGGCAGGATCAGAGAATTGGTCGGGGCCCTTCAGTCTCAGGGGAACCCGAGGGGACCTCAGGAACCTGCAGGAAGAAACACTGAAGTAGGCTTTGGGCTCTGGGCCTCGTTGGGATACCGGGGTTGACTGGGGGAGGCGCTGGAAGGGAACTGTTCTCCATGTAGAAAGTGCCCGTGGGCGGAAGTCCCATCCCATCTTTCTTCGTGCGCAGGATGCATTTCCAGCCTTGGCACCTGCGGCCGGGCAGGCAGGCCGGTGGGGTCGTTCCCAGCCTCTAGGGCTGGGCTCGCCCTTTACCCCATACCCGGAAGGATCCAAAGGCACAGGCACCCAGGTCTGGGACAGTGGACTGGCTTGTTGGGTCCCTGAGGAAGGACACAGTCCTTTCCACCCGCCACGGGGGCACCGTAGGACCACTTTGGACAGGAATACGCACGCCACAGAGAATATCAGGCAAACACACACTCTTTTGGTTTGAATCTTTACTTTCAATCCCAAACTTTCCCCCTTTCATTACAAAAGTACTAAACCAACACGGACAGAGTTGGGAAACTGGCATTTGCAGCTCCACGCCCTCGGCAGGCATCTATCTCCACGATCCCATCACCCACACCCCTGTGCAAGGACAGATACCAGGCAGACCATTTGCAGTAATCAGAACAATACCATAAATGCACGATCTTTTTATTTCATATAAAAATGATCAACACAAAAGCCAGGGCGTGTGTTGGTTTTAAACACTCCGACGCTCCCCAAGAGCCTTCTCCTCTGGGCAGCCTGGAGGCTCGGCCCTCCTGGAAGGGAGAGGCGGCCTGGGCTCCCAGCAGTGTCCGGAGACGACGCGCTGGATGTGGTGCGGAAAGCGGAGAGCGGCGCGGTCCCGGGCCTTTTCCCGGGCTCGGAGGGGTGGCCGCCTGGTGTGGCTGTGGCCCAGCGGCCAGGTGGCACACGGGCTGCCTCCCGGTGCGGGGAGTGGGCTCCTGGCCCCTGGGCTCACGGGAAGGCGTGTGCGCTTGTCCCTCTCGGGGGCCACGATCCAGTCGAGTGGCCATGCCAGGCATACCGGTCTCTGACTGTCGTCAGCCCCCTCTGGCCCTCCGAGAAGGGGCTCTCAGTCCACTGTGCCATTGTAGGATTTGTTGAACTTGTTGAAGGTGAAGTCCACGGAGTGTGTGGAGATGGGCTTTCTGTACAGAGGGTTGGAAGCCTACAGAACACACAAGGCAAGAGGACGTGTTTGCATCCATTCGTCTGAACGGACACCGCTCAGGGTTAGAGGCCCTTCCCTGGTCGGTCACCCCAGACGGCAGCGGCCTGAGCGTGCAGGGGGTGGGGGGTGACCGCCCCGTGCCACAGGCCTGGCCCTGCCCTGGGAAAGACCCTCCCGGTCCTGGAGCTTCTCCTCTTCACCCCTGAAACGAGGGGCTGGAGCAGCCCATCCCTGAAGTCCCTTCCAACCTTAACAGAAACTTCCTGTGGATTCAGGGGGGCTCACTGTACTCAGTCTCTAGGGTGGGGCATACGTTTGGCCTGGGAGGCAAGACTCGTGCAAACGGATGCTGCAACAGACTAAGAACCTGAGGTCCTCTGCTGAGTCTGTGGGCTCCCTGGGGCCATCCAGATGCTTCCTGCCCAGGCTGCGCCACGTGCCACTGGCCCGTGAGTGTCCTGAGCTGGGTCTGTGGGGGGCCGTGCGTTCTCAGCAGCTGGAACGGGACGCACGGCACCTCTCGGGTTTCGTTTCTTTGCTTTGAATGGCAAAGATGGTAGCGGGCCTTAAAGCTTGTGTGACCTCAACCACGCCTCTGAGCTTGACCTCTTTTTCCTACTTCCAGCATCCCCTCGGCTTACCATTTCATAGCGGGCCCTGGATCGCTCGCTCTGGAACTTTGCAAACTCTCTCCGATCATGGATGGTGACCAGCAGCTTCCAGATGGCCAGGAGCGCAATCCCAATCAGGAGGATGCTCCCAACCACGGCCAGGAGGATGGTTGTGGCGTCGGGAGCAGTCCCACACTCTGGAGGGGACCAGGAGTCAGAGTGAGCAAAGCCACCAGGATAGCACGACGGCGCGTGCCGGCCCCACCCCACCCCACCCCACCTGGGACCTAACTGGTGCGACAGGGGCGCTCTCTACCAAATGCCTTTCCTCTCTTCTCGCTTAGGTCCTCCCATTGCTTCTGGAAGACCTGGTGGACAGGGGGCCAGAGGTGTTCTCCAACGCGCACAAAGGAAGCGTCCAGGAGGGACGGCGCCTGTTGCAAACCACACAGCGGGTCTCCATGCGGCAACAAGCAGACCAGACCCTTGGCGGCCGCATGCAGCGTGTGCTCAGCAGCACCTCCCCTCGCGCCAGTGCTCCTCCTCCGGACTGGATGGGCCGCAGCCTCCCTGTAAATGGTGTCAGGAGCAGACTGCGCAAGCAGGAGGCCTCCCGGAGCCGCATCCACAAGGGCTGGGCTGGGGGCCAGCCAACGTTTGTAAGCCCTTAGTGGGGCCCTTTTGGAGCAAATGTGCTTATTTTCAAAGAACCGCAAAGCCAGCACTTGAAGACAAAGCCTCATTCTTGCAGGCATGCGTCCTGGGCTGGTCCCTCCGCCGCTGGCCCCGAGAGGGCACATTATGTGGTCTGGCTCAATTTGGAAAAACAGTTTGCAATGCTGGAAATTGAAGGGAGCAAATCTTTTTCTCCTCACCCTGAGCCCCTTCTGGAGAAAAATGAAAGGGGTCACACTAGAAACTCGGATTCCCTAGGTCCAAGGCATGAGGCGGCATCATCAATGGCACCATTGAGGCCTGACCTCCTCGGTGGCCCGGGAGCCGAGCACGGCTGTCTAACCCTTCTCGGGCCGGTAAGCACTGCAGCTGGGTGCGGACCCAGATGTCCCTGAGGGGAGCCTGGACCATCCACGCCCGCAGGCACACACTCTGCAGACCCTGCAGCTGCTCCCCGTCGTCAGCCGCGCAGCTCAGGCTTGTGCCGTGGCCTCTTTTACCCCAATGCTCCGTCTCCTTGCCTGCAGACCATGCCCCCCGAGCCCACCCAGCAGTGGGTCCCCAGGCGTATGCCCTCCTTTCTTCCAAACTCTCAGAGCTGGGTAGGGGCCGCCTTACATCCTGGTCTCAATCTCTCTCTTTTTTTTTTTAAGATTTTAGTTATTTATTCATGAGAGACACAGAGAGAAGCAGAGACACAGGCAGAGGGAGAAGCAGGCTCCATGCAGGGAGCCCGACGAGGGACTTGATCCCAGGACCCCGGGGTCACGCCCTGAGCCAAAGGCAGATGCTCAACCGCTGAGCCACCCCGACACCCCAGATCCTGGAATTTATGAGAAATGATGACCCTCCTGTCTCTGGAGTTTGGAAAGGCAGTGAGGACAGAACGGCGACAAGCCCGGAGCAGGGGAAGGTGTCAGAAGCTGAGCTCCCCGGGGAGCAGAGCCGGCCTGTACCCACCTGGCTCCTTGAGGACTGTCAGGTTGGACTTCCCGCTCGGGAGCTCTGTGTAGGTGAA